AGAAGGACTGAAAGACACTCAAACAGGGGATCTTTATACAGCTTTGGACCATAATTTTCAGTAGCTGCCTCCTCATATGTGGAGGTCAAGCCAAGGAATTAAGATTGGTAACCAAAAGGTTAAAACGAACACTGCTGGACAGACCAAAGGAATGTTTATATGAGTGCTGCAAAGGGCCAGCTCTCCACTGTTTAAAAAATAGAAGTTCCCTGGATCATGCTATTACTGAATCAGGCCCAGACAGAAGAAAAAGTTGTGCTACTCCACCTCCTCTCTGGCCTGCACACCCATCTGTTGCAATCATGTGAGAGGCAGCATCGTCCCTGCAATGTCAGGGCCTCTGGAAAGACTCGTTTTACTCGATGAACCAACCGTAGTCATTCACCTACGGCTAAATTCTCTGTGGTTTTCTGTGAAGATTTTTTTCCCTCGGTGATCTGCCTGTAAGTCTACTGGAAAAACCTGTGGTGAAACACTAGTGGGAAAGCGCAAAGTAGCTTTCACCTTGTTATAATCATCAAGGTCAGAACTTTATTCTGCTATGCATTATATTCCCAGCAAGCTCTGCTGAGAAAGTAACCACCTGTGCTGTTTCCCACTGAAGATTTTACAATGTGCCAACATGTTTCAGGAGAAAAAAAACAAAACAAAGGCATTTGTAGTGAGGATGCAGCCTCACTGTAAAATCCACAAGGAAAGTCTAGGTTCCTCCGTCCTTTGAACAAAGCAAGTTCCCATTGTCATATAAGGAATAAAAGGGTGCTGTCTCTCTGAAATACCTGAGATCTCTCACAGCCCTGTAAGGTGACCAGATTGAATAGCAACCTTTCCTTCTTCCTGAATGTTTTTGGATTCCTTTTAAGATCTCTCCGTTTTACATTATTATTGAATTTCTGTCTGTCTTTATACCAACAGCCCTTAAGGAAAGCTACCAAAGTATGTCAACATAGTGCTTGTTGGGGAAAGAAAAGCATGGGAACCTATCAAGAAATTGGTTCTTGTAACAAGCTCATTGGTGCAACTGTCATTGTCCTATTCTATTCCTCCATCACCAATAGGGGAGCACCCATTTCTGTTGCTTACTTTGCTACTTTGCTTCCTTCATCTTTTAAAAAGGGCAGGTATGCAACCAACACTTTATCTTCCTTAGTCCTCTTAGTTTTAATAACTGGACTTGCATGTGGCTGTCACGTGCAGATGCTGTAGCCTGTAACATTACCTTTTGAGTTTTAATTCACAGGAGTTTTGTTTTCACCTTTGTATTTCCCAAGCACTTGCTTCTACATTTTAGAAAGAGGCCAGTAACTAAGTGCTACTATAGTAGTTGCAAACCATTAAAGCCCAGCAATATCAGGGCAACAAATTTGTTGGTACACTAGTGTCACCCTGAAAAATTAAAGCCTTCTGATAAAATTTTCATAGTTTTAGTTACTTTCCCATGAAGGTTCTATAAACATAAGTTGTTTATCACATTCCTTCTAAGAAACGTCTTTTGATGGATGTTTCTCATGACCAGTGTGCTTGGGAGGGTGGTAACTTAATTATCCAATCCCTGGTCATTGTTGAGAATCTATAAATACTGGAGTCAGAGAATAAAGAGAGTTTTTTTGTTCTGACACTGAGAGGCGTTTGTGTGAATCATTTCATGTCCTTTAGCGACACACTGGAACCAGGATGTGTGGCCACTGAGGACTGTGCGCAATGCTACAAAGGACGGCAACATCAGCTACAATTGGAGAAGAAAATCCACAGAGAATTAAAACTCATGTAACTAATGAGGTCTGGATGGACATGTCCCTGAACATCATGACAGAATTAACTAGCTAGCAAATTAAGCTGATAAAATGAAAATTGAAAAAAAAAAAGATTAAATGAAGATTTCCTCATGGGAATGTAGGAGGCAACAAAGTATCAGTTAGCTACTTCATTAGTTTCCTGCCAGAATACAGCCCCAAACAAATTACTTTCACCTTTACTCAGACTACAATGCAGCACTATGAAGAAAGCTGCAATGTCTGTTGCACAAGACCTTGTTATGTCCAGGGCCTTACACTGTGCCAGTTTTGCAAACCTGTTCACACTTAAGGTTCCCTGCGCAAGATGATAATCATAAGATGAAACGAGCAAAGATCACACCACAGCATGAAATAGAGGGCCTGTTAATGAGTGGTGGCAGAGTACACTCAGAAAAGCAGCTAATGATAACAAAAGGCTGAAAACATCTGTGCATTGCCTGGTTCTTTAGACATGTCACGGAAATGACTCATTACTGGATCAGCCACATGTAAGGGCAACAGAGCAGGCAGTGCATTTACTGTCCAAAAACACATTATTATTCTAATAATACACTGGCCTGCAGGCAGCCTCCTTATGCTAGACTTCTCTGCTGGATCTGTGACCTTGAAATTCTGAGATAAATGCTTATTGTGCAGCACAGTATCTTTTCTTCTTGGTAAAGATTTGAAAGAAATAGTAGGAATTGTTGATGCAAGAGTTTAGGCTCAAACTAAGATGTTTTGACTAAATCAAAATGTCTCCCCAGTGGTTTTTGTAAGGAATAAGCCTTGTACCATGGCTGTGGGAAAACAAAATATAATTCCACTTTTATCTTTTAGTGATGATACCAAGTGGCTTGAACAGCATGTCAGTATCTACTTGGTGCTTTTCTGTGCCTTTCAGATGGTAGATACTTAAGCGTACTTGAAAGCTCATCTCAATCAAAATACCTTTGCTGATCAGCTGTCAAGCAAACACACAGCAGACAAGATCATTCAAAAGGAAAATATCATTCCATTCTACTTCAGCTCAATTCCAAGCAGTCTTCAGCAGCTCAGTGCAGTATATTCTAACGTAATGTGTAAGAAATTTTGCTCCTTAAATGCTTTCAGTCTTGCAGAGAGGTGTTTTGTGGCTCCCAAAAAAAAGGGGGAAAAATAGCATTTAGGTCTTTTGGCTTAATTTTCCATTTTTTCCCCACCACTAAATGCAAGATTGGGCAAAGGCTGAGTAATCATACAGGCAGTGCTAAGTGGTTTCATTTTTGTATAAAAGAGTCACGTTGGTCATCATCAGCCTGGACCAGATTGAGTCATGCTGGAGAGGGAAAAAAATCAGAATCTTTCTCAAATCATTGAATTATCCACCAACAGTTACCAGTAGCTAAGGCAGGATAAAAAAGTTGAAAGAGCATTGATCACAGTTAATTTTTATTTTATGTACGTCATCATGTACAAATATTGAATGTTCCTCTATAAAATAAAGGTTCGACTAAGCAGAAAGGATGTTTTAAAGCAGTAATAGCTCTCTGCTGGATTCCAGTGACACCTACTGGTAAACAAAGAAGTTACCAAACATTTCTTGAAAATGCAGCAGCATTAATTTATGCACCTGCCCTTAGGATCACTAATAATTTTTGTAGCAGCTCAGGCTATGAACCACGTTACAATCAGGTGTTAGAGTTAATGAAACAGTATTTTTCAAATCTGGAATTTGACTTAATCTGATTATTAACTATTTGAAACTGCATTTTTATCACTCAGAAGTCATACATTTTGCTACTGGCAGCTGTAGATAGGCCAGTGGATTTTTGGCTCGATAGAGTACACTGGGACATATATCCAATTTTACTCTTAGTGATTTCATTAATATAACTATAGTCAAAACTTAAATCATTTAATACATCTCCATTTGCTTTCAGGTGCATTCCTTTTAGCACAGATTCCAAAAATGAAGATCTCATGAATAGAAAAACTGACCAAGCTCATAGCTTTGCTTCTGACATCTCCTTGCTGTTTGTAGTGCCGAACTGGTTTGTCACAGCTGTGTTAGTCTGACAGGTCATACAGATATTCCTGAATGTCATTTCAGCCAGCACTTGTAAGAGAATAAATGCCAATAAACTCCCTAAGTGACAGTTGTGGGACCAGAATTCCAATAAAACCTCACATGATGCAAGGCTTTACCCTCAGAAAATGGATGCAATATGCACAATGTACGTGCAGAGACACCTCGGTTGCCAGTTGGGACAGAAGCAGAAACAACACAGCGAGGAAAAGCAGTACTACAGCTCTGGGCACCAGACTCATCCCCCTTTCTACACTGGGCTCCATTGTGTAAACTAGTTCAGTGTATGGACATGAATATTTCTGTTTGAGGCAATCTATGACTGAGGGATTCCTTCTGTGATTTACAGGGAAATAACACATGCAAGGTTTTCAAACCATAGTCTTGCCAAACAACTGGCCATAAACATCACTGATAGAGCTCTAGCCATCCCCACTGAATCAGGAAAATTTTCCTTTACTACCTCTGGCAGGCTTAGAAGTGTCTTAGTTTCATCTCTAATTCTGAGGTCCTTTCAGATATGGCTAACAAAGCCGTCAAGTTTTTACTTCTTTGTCCTGCATATCCTTCCTTTGGGGAACTGAAGCTTCCTGTCCAAAAGTCTATTTTGGTTAAGTCTGACAGTCTCCACTGCAAACTGTCCCAGGACAACAAAATGGAGTGGTGAGGCCACCTGGCAATGAACATCCACCACCATAAATCAGCACAACTCTCAAGTATCAACCCAGGCATCTCAGAACAAAGAATGCACTGAATTTTTCTTTTCTTTTGAGTATCAAAGTTTAAGTTGAATAATCACTTCTGACAGAACACATCAGCCAGATTTGCCCAGGCAGGAATACTGTTATAGGTTATTGGAAAGACAGAAAGGAGCAAGCACCTTGGTTTTATGGTAAAATACTTGCCAATTAAATGCTGTTCCCAGTACTCAATAACAAAACTTCTAAGCTGGACTATAAAGACCATTTAGGCTATAACAACCACTTCTAAAGCAACTGTAAAAACATTTTTAGAAGTCAGACTATAAATCTGCTAAGCAATAGTTCAATATTGATTTCACAAACACATCCATAATAATGACTTTACATAATTAGAATAGGAAGATATTAGAGAAAGTGCAGTATGTTGCAACTTGAAGATCTGCTCAAAGAATGTATTTTTTTTTTTTTTTAAACATGATGCATTAAACTTTATCAGAACAGAACTATGCATGATCCCATGGAAATCAGATACCCAGATGTTGCTCCCTGGCACTCTGCATTTGGTCCCTGGGTTAACCATAACTTCTGTGAAGTGCATAGTGTTGGCAAACTGATAGGAAGCTATCATGGCGATGAGCAAACGAATATAAAGGGATGCATATAGAAAGAGCCATCCCATAAAAATCAGACTTTGTACCTTAACTAAAAACAGATTCACATAATTATTATATCAAAATTGAAGTGTCTCATAAATTAGATGCTGATTTCTCCACATGTGCAGCAAAATTATTTAAATTGAAGAAAATCCATCCAGTCCTTTGTCAAAGATAAGTGGAAAACTTTCCTTGGCAAATGAGGGAAGCCAAGTAACCTGTTTCCAAGTTTCCATTCAAACCCAGTAGTTTAAATTTCTCATTATTTAAAAAAGACAAGCTCAAAGCTATCTTTTATGTGAACAGATGCTGCGCTGTCTTCTTGAAGCTGCAGGGTTAGAGGCAGATTTTTCATGCAGCTGCAGAATGAAGTCAACAAGCCCACTCTGTTCCAGGGTTGCTATTCAGAACCTTTTGGGCAGCAATGAAAGAAGATCACATCAATTTCATGCTGGTTTTGCTGCTCTACAAAGATACGAGCAGCACACAGAGACACTAATCATGCCTAGATTGCAGGAGAAAAAAACATGTCAAACTCCTCATGAAAACAAGGTACAGGAGATTTAATCAAGTATAACTTTTACAGACACCTTTTAATTCGGGGTACTTTTGGTGGCATGGCACTGTTTCTGTAGCAGCCTGTACTCTGGCTGTGTTACAGACATTGAGCTCCGTGTGCAATTAAAAACTATGAGTAGGGCCCCTGGATCCTGCCTAGAACAGATTTGACAGACATTGGCCTCTGTCCCCATTAGCAGCATTTCCCTTGTGGCCCATGTAGGTTCTCAGCATTGTGCTCTGCATCTGCCATTACTTCTGAACTACAAATCCAACACACTTGCTTCACAGTATTAATTTAATTGCAATAATGAGAAATTCCAGCTGCAGGTACAATAAAAACTTTGCAGGCAGGGAAATAAGGTGCCTAGAGAGACAGAGTAGTTCCCATTCTTGAAGGCTTCCAAACCTACCTAAAGCCCTGAACAACCTGGTCTGACCTTAGAGCCTACCCTGCTTTGAGCAGGAGGCTAGATGAGGGACCTCCTGAGGTCCCTTCTCAACAGGACTATTTTACAATTCTATTATAAACTCCATATGCTAGTAACTGCCAAGTGATTCATATGCTTTTTCAAAATGGCATATATATGTATACACACACACTGATACCTATACATTATAATACTTCAACTTCAGTTCTCTAATTCTAAGAGCCTAAACTAAAGCCCCCAGAATACCTTATTCTGTGTAGCACCAATGCTGTACGTTACGATGGCTGCAGTGCGTGGCTAAAAAATACAAGTTTCAGCATTTACTTGGTTGTTCAGATCAACAGAATAAGTGTGCATGGCTAGACATTGTTTTTGCAGTATTCCAAGGGAGAGGATATAGGGAATTGGTAGCAATTTGGAGGTGCATAGTTTGCCTTTGTTTTGCCACTAGTTAATAGCATGTCCCAGCATTTAGGGGTTAAGAGTCTTGGAAGCAAGACTATTCAGTTTACTGAATAGATATCAATGACCATAATCAGAGTTAACTATGCTGAGACATGAACATAAAACTGAACATAAAGTTAGGTAGAGGCACAACAGAAGTAGAAAGGAAGGGATTGCAATGGAGTCTGTCAAAACCCAGTTACTGAGCTTTGCCATATCCTTGTCTTTAAGGACATTCAGCAACCTCAACCATGTACATTCATATTATATTAAACTTGTGTCCTCTTTATTTCTACTGATTTCCCATCTTTCATGCTGAACTCCAGGAATCTAATCTGTATTTTTTTCCCCAGCACAAGGAAGTTAGTGTTAAGCATGCCTGCTAGCAGCATTGATTTATCCAAAGTGCCTTCAGATTGGTAACTTGGATGTTAAAAGAAGAGAACTTCAAAATTCATCTGGATGAAGTGCTGAAGGGTAAGCTCTGATCTGCTCTAGGAAGTATTTGTGTGTTTCCTTGATGACAGGTGAAGTTTGGTCTGTTTCCAGGAAAGTCTTTCCCCTCACCCAAGTAGCATGTCTCCTAACTGAAATGGGGGCCACACCTGTACTGCAGGTGTTTGTTGCCTGAGCCTGCACACTCAAACTACCTCTTCATCAGGTAGGAGATTGGCAAACGCAGAACTGTCAGTGTCCCTCCTGCTGATACCCAGTGTGGGCAGATGGGAGTAAACTGGGGTGGCTCCAGCAAACCTGGTCTCTCATCCCTCTGGAGTAGACACTTGAGAAGGTGCAAGTATAGATCTCCTTCCTCTCCGCTCATGTTTCATTGCATTAGACATGTTACAAACAACATTTACCATTCTACTTGCTGGCAAGTTATGACTCAGGAGACTTCAGCACATTCCTTCCTAGAGAAAAGGGATTACTATAAGATCTTTTTACTGACAAGATAAGCAACCAGTCTCCCAGGAAACAGATCTATTCCACAAGATGTTGAAGAGGACAGCTTTGTATTTCTATCACCAGCTACTCGCTTATTCAAATACTTGGTTACATGTTTATGCTGACAATGAATGTGCCCTGCTGATCTGGACCCCAACTCATCTTTCTCATTAGACCCTGACACAACTCAGCACCACAGATTTGTCTCACAATGGCTGTGGCTGCCACTGGCCCTTCCTGCACAAGTCCTGTGGGATTGGTGAGGCCACCTTCTACACCTGCCTTGCTGTCATCCTCAGCTTCTGGCTCACAGCCTATTATTACTGCTCCCTGACAGCAATCTCTCTTTTGAAAAAACCAGGAAGCTTAAATTTAGCCTAAAATAAAACCAAACACCTATCTGGAAATAAATAAGGTGATCTGGAAGAGTCCTTGATGAAAGCCGTTCTCTCTCCCAGGTCCTTCTCCAAGCTCCATCAAGAAAGCATACAAATACAAGGTATCTTAGGTACAGAACACTTGACAAAACTTAAGATCAAGCTTCTCTTCAGCTTTCTTTACAAGTCTCCTGGCTGGAAACCTGCTGCATTCCCCTAGCACCTTATACAATGAGTCAGATTCAGTAATCAGTAGGAAACAGAATTAGCAGTGAAGGCAAAGTTATTCATGCAGTGTAATTTACAAGGCATCTGTCTGTGCATGAATTAGTATTTTCCTTAATTATCTGTAATAGGAAATCCCAAGATTCTCAGCTGGCTCTGTCAGTCAATATTAACCACAGACTTGGAAAATGATACAAAAATAGGAAGGAAATTGAATCCTGCAGAGGCTGCAGTAGCACTTTAGAAGGAATGCAAATAGAACTTCCCTGGGAACAGTTTCACTATTGGCATGGCTGGTCCCACTCCACTGTAGTTTGCCAACACATCACACAACACAATACAATGTGACATTTAGTTAACTTGCGGCTCTCACATTGTGCAAAGAGACTCCCAGATATAGAAACACTGGTGAAAGCAGTAAGTCCAGAGCAATGTGATGGTTATCCATCTATGCTCACCTTTCAATGGGCAATGGTTTGCCTTTTCAAAATTCTGACAATTGGACCATAAAGTGATGTAGTCCTGCAAAGAACTCTGTAAAGCATACTCCTGATTTTGCCTGGTTGAGGAAAGTGTGCAACTGCTGTACCTTAACAGGAGATCTATTGTTCCTTCTGTCAGACCTGGCTGTCTAACAGCCAGTCACTTGCTACAAAAGATGTAATCTGCACCTAGAAAGCAGGGACTCCAGAGACTTGGTGTGAGGTAGGATTGTCATACTGATTTTAGGTGGTCTCACCTGAGGCTTCAGAGTACCGCTGGCACAGACATTCCTCAGACTGCACAACAAAGTCCATCTGCAGTTGCACAGGTTCAAGAGCACCAGTTATCAAATACAGCAACTAAAGACATGGTCTGCAGACTTCCAGGTCAGCCAAGCATACTTATCTTGACTGGGTAGCAGCTGCAGAAGTCAGGACACAGAGCATCTTGCTGAGTGTCAGTCCTCCTCACAGTCATAGCTGTGCCCATCTTGGAGACAGGGAGTGAAAACTGGCAAGCCACACACTTCTCCATTACTCTCACACAAAAAGCAAGCATGCAGTCTTTCCCATCACCATTCTTCATTCAGTCTGCTTCATCTGTTCACTGTGCCTCTGGCATTCCCACCCATCTCTCATTACCACTTCTTTCTCTTCCTTTCCTAATTCTCCTGTATTTCCCCCCTTGGCTTCTCTGAATCTTTAAGAGCAAAATGGATGGCACACAAAGGCACTCATGCTATGTCTCCATCACTGCACTTAGCTTTGATCCAGCTAGATACAACTGTGCTCTTTGGCTAAATCAGCAGAGTTTAGGTTTTTCTAAGACACTGGAGTTCAGTTCCTTTAAAGGGAAGCAAGCACGAATGTGAATGAATAAATAAACTAGAGTAAAGGCTTTGTTAGTCCCCACAGGCAAATCCCCAGCAGCAGAAGACTGGCCCAATGCACAGCACCACACACCCCACACCATCAGATTTCTTTGCTTCATACAAGTCAGTAATTTGAATCAAGCTTACACTTTCTCAACAGCCAACATCCTAGGGATTCATCACCAGATAACTGCAACTTACTCAAACGTTACTTTATACTTAATTGAAAAATATATATTTTACAATACATTTCTATGCTAATCCAAAAAGGGGTTTTTCACCTCCAGAAGATTCCCACAAATATTTCTCTTTGAGGAGTTCACTCAAGTAATTATGTTCCAAAAGACAGCGCAGTTAATCTCCTTGTGGAGACCTGCATTTATAGTCAATTACTTATTAACAGTGCATTGTGTCATACTGACTTTGAATATCTAAATCCACTGCTTGTTCCCAACCTCTTCTGTTATATAACCTGTGGCTTGGAAAATGTCCATGTAGGTCCTGTCATAAACCCATAACAGCTCCAAATATCAGTGAGAATTATTTCTACCGAGTAGGTTTGAATGGTTCTGCTTGTTGTACAAGTGTACCTAAGAGCTACTCTGTAAACAGGCCTTGATGTGCCAGAGTATTACCCCTTCCACTGTTTGAAAGTGTCTGTCCTTATATAAAAGCCTATTTGTATATAATATTTATTTGATAGCTTACAATGAATCAGTAATTAGGGAACGTTTAAGATAGACATGAGCCTAAAGGCTTTTCTACACACAAAATACTTCTTCAGATTAAAATAGCTATGAAAATAAGAGACTTCCTTTTTAGCTTCAGTTTCCCTAAACACTGGAAAAAAAAAAAGCTCCTAGCCAAAGTTAATAACTAATTTATCATTCCTTCTCAGGTATTTTATTGTTTATCTTTTATATTCCTTGGTAAAATACTTCAACGTGGCAACCTAAAGTTCTACCAGATAAAGAAACACCTCTCCTGTGTATGATCTTTTTCCCTGTGAGAACAGGACTGTTCCTTCTGATACAGTCATAACAGACTATGAGATATTCATTCACACAGAGTGTTGGGGACCAAAAGCATGAGAAGAGAAACCAGGTCCTGCTCTGCCAAGGGCTGTTGGTGTTGCACCAGGGATCACAGAAGCAGAATTGAAAACTTTCTGAGAGCAGGTGAAGAGATCATTCACAGACTGTGGCCCAAGGGAAACACCAAGACCTTTAAAGGGTTGAAGAAAGATAGGGAACAGCATGAAGGCTGAGTGCAAAACAGTATCCTTTGAGATACACTAGCCTGATGTACTGGAAAAAATGGTGATTTAGGTTGAACATTAATTCCTATGTCCATGGCTCCATGATAGATTACACATCATATAAAAAGCGTACAGAGCATTGTTTCTAAAAATCAGTTTAAAAAAAACAGTGTCTTGTGGGGCCAAAGTGATTTAACAACAAACTGCAGACACCTTGTAAGAAGAAGGCTGTGAAAAATGCAGAAGTAAGGGAGGGAAAAGGAAAGTAATTTTCCTGCCTAAAGGCAGGGTCCTCCTCTATATATTGATGGAAAAAAACCACATACTTTATACACTAGTCCTGCACTGAAAACAGATTCTTACATCTCACTAAGAGGATATAACTTTCCTTCCTTGCCTTTTCTAGAGTATCTGGTAGTCAGACAGGGTTGACCAAATCACTTTAAATAATGTCCCTAACAACACCTATGATGATCATAATTTGTGTCTCTGATTGTTAAAAATTCCCTATGCCATAAACACCTGGTCTGTCTTGCATAATCATGCTGTTGAGGCAGCTTCTGCTGCCATAGTCCCCATCTGACCAGGCTATACCGCTGCAGCTTCAGAGCCCTCAGCAAATTCACACCCGCAAACACACAACTTACTACTGACTTCCTCTTTAGTAGTAGCCATAAGGCAGAAATAATTTCCCTCTTTCTTTCCAGAATAACATAGCTTTCTGTGCAAGCAAGCACAGGCAAGCCTTCTAGCCAAAGCTGTGACTCAGGCAGTCTCTATTTTTGGTATGGACTTTGTGAATAGTTTTACATGACTCTTAATTCATGTCCAATTAATGAGCTTCAGGAATGAGATACTACTTCTTCCTTCCTACCTTCCTTTTTTTTCCTTTTCTTCTGTGTGGTTTTAGAGAGGAGAAAACCCCTTTCTTGATACTCTTAGAATGGAAATATCTTGCCTCTTGCAGTTTTTTACAGCTTCCCATTAAAAAGAGCTCATTCTATGGTGAGAAATGTGTCACCAGGGAAAAGGGAATGTTATTACTTCCCTTTTCTCAGTAGCCTCCTTTATGAGAGGAGCATCTAACATAGCAGGCCTTCTTCATAAAGTGCAGTAGAGTTGACTGATACAACCAGAGTGGTCACATTTGAGGTGCAGTTTGGCCCATGGTGCACCATAATAAACCTTTATCTTCTCACACTTTTAAGATAAGACAAGGTCAAAATGCTCACAGAATAATTCAGTGCCATACTGCCTATTCTGTAATTATTATATTAATAGGATTCAACAAAAGGGGCTACATCAAGCAGCAAATAAAGTAGAAATCTTTGCTAAAACAATTGCTCTATAATTGCTTTCTGAAGCAGTAAAAGCAGCAAAACCCCTCTGACTACAGAAGAGCTAAGAAGAAAACTACAAGTAATGTAATGGGCATATCTAAAGAAACCAAAATAAAGCAGTATCATCACTCATACTCAGCCTCCATCACCTCCTGTACTCACTTTTGCTGTGCTTCATTTTCAGTTCTCTGAACTGGCTCATTGCACAGGAAGGAGGAACCATACCTTTAAGACGCAACATAACAACAGATTACATAAATGCCAAGCTGTAGGGACAGCCTAAAGCATAGAAGGTGAGAAGAAGCAGAGAGATTTCTGCAAGCTGTAAAGCATTACCAGCAGCAATACTAAGAAAAAAAGGCCGTATCATATAAAAATGTAGTTACCAAAACTACACATGCTCAGACCTGAGTTTACGTAGCACTCCTAGGCCAATAGGCAGAGTGTGTGGGTGGGAGTGTCAGATTAGGTCAATTAGAGTCATTAAAGCCTTGTCACTCAGGGCTGACACCATTCATCTTAAGCAAGGAAAAAAAAAAAGCAACACAATTCTTCAGAGAATTCACAGCTAAGCAAACACTGTATTTGCACAGACCTTGGATATATTTGAGGAATTATACTGTCTCAAACAGATATCACAGGCCCCATTGCTCTTACAATTTAATTTTCAAGTGATTATTGGCACAGCTGGCTCTGCACATGACTTGTGCCTACACAGCATGTGATCACATTCCTCACAGCCTTGTGACAGCTCAAAACATTTTTCTCTGCCTATGCTCACTTGCATCAATTTGATTTACTGTTCTGAAAATGGCAGGAGCCCCACACTATTGGCTTTGAATCAATGTGGCCAGTTCTCTTTCCCTCCAACTACTATTTTAAATAATATCCCAAAGTGCCTAGAGGAACATGCTACATGTGTACCTTCCCAATACCAGGGATCTTTGTGTACCTAACACCAGGACATCCCAGAGTATAAGGTGGTGTAGCTTCTTGACTATTATCCCTGTATAACTCTCTTTGTTATTGTTATTTTTAGCATCCTATACCATATGCTATTTTGCCACGCAGAGGAGCTAAAAGTGGTAAAAGAACGCATGGAAGAAAGCGCAGCACTACAATTAGAACAGTTAACATTACTGAAAAGTACTGCTCAACAGCAGTAACTTGCTGGGAAGAAGTGTTCTTGTGATATCTCCATTCTGCTTCCACAACCCAAACTATCACCTCTGCATGGTGCTTACTGTATGCTGTTGACATGTCCTCTGTTCTCACCTTGATTCAGAGATTCACTTGCTCTGTTGATAAAATGAAGGGGAAGCATGACTGATCTGACAGCTTGTTAAAGTCCAAGTTATAGTAGAGGAGAGGCTGAAGATCACTGCTGTATAAGTCACATCAGGAACTTAAAGAGAAATTATAGTGAATTTAAATGCAATATGAGAAATACTTAGGGATGTAATTTAAGCTTGAGTGATCACACTGTAATCTTGAAAGAGATACTTTCTTTTTAACTTTTTACCTTGGTGAGTATGGCAAGAAAAGGCAAAAGAAGAGCTAGAAAGGTTAGCAAACCAGCTGCTTTCAGGAGAATAAGAATGTTTTCAAACTCCCAGAACCTGGTGTGAAATAACAGGCCCTAATTGCCCTGACCAGCCTCACCCGCTGCCTCCACCCACCCCTCCTGATGAGGAGCTCTATTTAGCTCAGCCCTGGATGGTTTTTTGGTTTGGTTTTTTTTTAAATTTATTTATTTGTTTCTTTCTTTCTTCCTTTCTTTCTTCTTTTTCTCTGTAGGAAAGCTCCTGGGCTGCAGCTCTAGTCCTGCTGTGCCTGTGTCTTCTTGGTCTTTGGCTCTGGCTCCTTGACTTGTAAGGCTGCTCCCTGAGATGTCTTGCCCTTATTAACCCTGCCAAGTCACATCCTAAAACAATTTCCCAAGGACTTAGATCCCCAGCTGCTGTCTCTTAACCTGGCAGCTTCTCAGGTAAAGTGGGGCTGGATGCTGAGGGTCTCTGCTCTCCTGGTTGTGCTGCTTTGTCTGGTTTCCACTGCTGGCCCTCGCTGTTTTGTGATACAGAGCTTTTTACACCAGTTTTACTTGCTGAAAATCATATTTGAATATTTCTTCTGTTCCTTTACATTTGTAACTGAGTGGTAGTAACTTGATAAGGCTTTTATGAATAGGCTCAATTCAGTTCTACTGGTGATCCCTGTCAAAATACATTTTATGTGAAAAGACTTTCATCCTCTGATTCTTTCTCCTAGGGAACTTTGGAAACTAGTTCAGACTATTGTAGTCAGCTTTCTTTAGACATGCTAAGTCAATTTTCATTAAAAATCTCATATTCAGTAATTTTAATAATATATTAGCAGAGTAGTCTTCTATTTACATCTGTGAAACTCTCCACTGTTGTACAAGCTGCAGTGATTCTTATATGCAACACAAATTGGTGTTAATCCTTTTTCTAGAGATAAAATATTAATTCTGTAATAGCTTAAAGCAAGGGTATTTGCTATTAAGTGATAAGTAAATAAACAATTTCATCCCTCCTCGTATGCACCAAACCAAAATTCTCAGCATTTCCTGTGATCCTTCAACTTTCCAAGACTAGGAGAAGTAAGCTTTCACTGAGTTAATCAACAACTCTGAATTTCAGAGTTGAGATGAAGGTAACAGGGCTCATGAAGTGTGCACAAGTCTTCTCAATTTATAATTCTAAGTGACAGATACCAAGTGGGAACCACTGATACATGTTATCTTGTGTTGATTTATTGTATATAAAAATTGCTTCTGGGAGATGCAACTGAGAATTATTTCTATTATTTAGGCTAAAGTCACCCTTGCAACAAAGCCCTGTTTAGGAAAGGCTATTCATGTTCAAACTTAACTTTTCATTAATTGATCTCTCTTCTATAGCTCTGGTCTTGTGACAGTACCCCAGGACCCTTGACAGATTAATTGCTGCTGTCTTTGCTAATTAAAATTTGCATATTAAATTGGAAAATTCTGTAGTATGTTACGAGCAGGAATTTGATGTTTGCTGTGAGTTATAGCAATGGTTCTCTGTCTTCCTCTGATGCCCCAGACTGTTCACTTCTGCAGCTCCCAACTGAGAAGTTTCCTTACAAAGTAAGTTCCTCATGGGTGGTTCATGTTTCAGTTATTTTATTTTTCAGCTCTCCTGATCATTGCTGTCAGACTATTCACTCTTTTTCCCAATAAATAAGAAGTTGCTTTCTGCTGCTTTTTCCTCTTGCTGTAATTAAATTAGTAAGCTGGCTAGAAAAATCGTAAGTATTTTTTCATAATACCTGAACAATTTCCAGCCACACTAGAGCATGTGGCTTGAAGTAACAGAAAGAGTAAATGCTTCTCTTAAAATTGAATGTACTAGAGATCTACTTAGTGATTAATCAGAATCTAATAGATATTATAATCTAATAATATTCAGGAACAGTAGACAAGTCAAGCAAGGTTTAACTTGCTTTTCAAGCACAGAGAATTGCTTAGATCAAGTGGTAGTAGGGGAATAAAGTGGTGTACAACTGAGACTATATCAAACATTACTACCAAAGCAGAAACAAGGGAGAGAAGTTTGAGAAACATGGACCTGCATAGGCTCTGCTAAGGTACAAGTTCAACCAGAGAAGATTACTTTTCTATATTTATAAAAGGCTCTTTTATGTCTTTCCTCACAACTGATAACCAAGAAAGAGGTCCTTCTTAAGACTTAAGTTCTTAGCTAAAAAATGCTCTACTATAATTGCTCTATTATATCAGAAAGCCTTTCTTGGAGCTATCATTTCACTCAAAAAAAGTGATAGTGATGTTTTGTATAATGTAGCAAATATACACTGTATCCTGCTGAAGAAGAGATGGAAAAAAGGCACTGTAGTTTTGTCATGTGATAAAATAGGTTGCAAGTAAAGGTGTTTTGCCTTGTCAATGCTTTCACATTAAAAATCAATAGCTATTCAAATGAAACTGTACTCAAAGAAATCAAAATTAGCCCTCTTCCTTCACACACAGCAAGCTATTGTCCATCCCTTCTGTATAAGATGCTTCTTACTTAGACACAGATAATTGCTTGTGAAGCAGCTATGAAACTTTAACAGCTGCCTCTGGCTGGGGCCTGTGTCTTATCTCTGAAGGTAGTTAATCTTTCTGTGACTGCATTTGCTGGAACAATGTAATCAAATGAAGGAACAAAACCTAGTTTTATTTTTTAGTGCTCAATAGACTGCATTAAATTGTAAAACAGATTCTAAAATAGTTCACAAAGCTCACCTTAATGCTATTGTTTTAAAGAAAATACTCCCTCCTTGTCTAGCTTCTAAAACCAGAATTAGGCTGTTCTTGAACTAATTTACAATTAACCAGGTCAACATCTATTTCACAGAACAGTTGTATCTATAAAATAATTTATATGTAGTGATAGTCTGATAGTACAGGTCATGGACTTCTTTTAAACTGTTTATTTTTTAGAATAAGCATAGAATTTTCTAAATTATGTTAATTCAACTGGTGAATTATATGCAGCAACATATAATAATATGCCTTTCCTTTGGGGGTGGAAAGGCACATTTTCATGTTTTCATCTTATTAAGTAATGTCATTATCCTCAAAGGAGGTTTCTTTCAAAAAATTGCCTCTAAGTCTGAACCAAGTATTTGAGTGAAAACTTTTTAAAGGTATTGCTAAAAAGTCTGTGTATTTGTTAGACTACTGGGTGTGCAAAGACTTCTTGGACACAGAATTTGAGTGGGACTGGCTGATGTGAAACTCAGAATTGTCCCAATAACAGTCCCACATTAGTTGGCTGTAGCTATGGTTCCCTGTTAAGAAAAAAGAGCTTTCTTTTGTGCTTTTCCATTTTCCTACAAAACTAACTTTTCTTCTTCAAAGACTGTGAAATGAAAAAAAAGGACAAGTAAGAGAATAGAATGAATGAGATATACAGCTTGGGAAAATGGAAAGGAATGAAGGGTGGGAGGAAAAAGAAAAGATTGGGATGAGAAGAACAGAGTGAGGTGATAGAGGTGACAAAAATACTTCATCACTAAGACAATATTTATAGTGGAACAAGAACAGCAGAAGTTGAGTAAATTAACTAGTGCTTGAACTATCAAGCTTTCACAGAACACCATTTAAACAGTAGTGAGTGTAATATTAGGGGTCCATCTTGCTGTTAATTTCTTCCACTTAAACTCAATTTCTTTCCAGCAGGACTCCAACCCCTAGGATGACATCTTCTGCACTGGTAGACTAGTGTGTCCAACACTATATGAAGTTATTATTCTCTTCCTATACAAACTCCTGACAGAACCCAACCCCTCCAATGTCCACCATTATGGGATTTGCCACATGTTCAAGGGTGACCGA